CAGCAGCAGCAGCAGCAGCAGCAGCAGCAGCAGCAGCAGCAGCAGCAGCAGCAGCAGCAGGACTTGTCTGAGCATGAGGGGCAGCAGCATGAAGTGGTAGTCGTAAATGAGAATGACATCTCCTTCGACATAGTTTGCTGCAACAGCAGCAGCAAACTCTTGGTTCATCAGCACGTAGCCCTGGAAGTCCAGGTGCGAGAAGCCAGTCCCTGAAAATAAATAAATAAATAAATAAATAAATAAATAAATTAATTAATTAATTAATTAATTTAATTAATTAATTAATTAATTAATTTGTTTTGGCTTTTGTTTGGTCCCTCTTTTGTTTTATTTGGCTGTTTATTCGCGGCGAAAGCATTTTTGCTGCAGCAGCAGCAGCAGCAGCTGCTGCTGCTGCTGCTGCTTGCTGCTGTGCTGCTGCTGCTGCTGCGGCAGCAAGACGGCGAGCGGGCTCTTCGCCCGGAGCGCCACTTCAGCTGCTGCAGCAGCGCCTGCTGCAGCAGCTGCTGCTGCAGCAGCACACCGCCGCCACCGCCGCCGCCGCTGCTGCTGCTGCTGCTGCTGCTGCTGCTGCTGCTGCTGCTGCTGCTGCTGCTGCTCACCGACAGGGGGCGTTCTGCAGTGGAAAAGAGTGTTGAGGATTTGTTCGGCAAAGCATTCTTTTTGTGCTGCTTTGGAAAGCAAAAGGGGACAAACATGGGGGTAGCTGTCTTTGACTCGCAGCAGCAGCTGCTGCTTGATGAGCTGCTGCTCCGAAGCAGTAAACCCTAATTCAGAGAGTTCAAACCCTAAATCAGCGATTAACAAACTCCGCACAAACGGCCGCAACGTGCTGCTGATGTCCCACGCAATGTCGGAAGCACTTATCGTCACCAGGCCCTCCTCCGCTGCGCTGCTGCTGCTGCTGCTGCTGCTGCTGCTGCTGCTGCTGCTGCTGCTGCTGCTGCGGCTGCTGCGGCTGCTGCTGCTGCTCCGACGGCTCTGGCTCCGGCTGCTCGCGCTGCTGCGCCGGCTCCCAGGCGCCTCGGACCCCGCTCCTCGCTCCTGCTGCTGCTGCTGCTGCTGCTGCTGCTGCTGCTGCTGCTGCTGCTGCTGCTGCTGGCGGTGGTGATGGTGGTGGTGGTGGTGGTGGTGGTGGTGGTGGTGGTGCCCTCCTTCTGCTGCTGCTTCTGCTGCTGCTGCTGCTGCTGCTCCTGGGTCTGTCGGACTCGGCAGAGACGGACACGGCTGCGACTTGCTGCTGCTGCTGCTGCTGCTGCTGCTGCTGCGGCCGATGCTAACGCTATCAGCTACCTCCACTGCTTGCTGCCTGTCCCCCGCTTCATCCGTCTGCTGCTGCTGCTGCTGCTGCTGCTGCTGCTGCTGCTGCTGCTGCTGGTGATGGTGATGGTGATGGTGGTGCTGGTGGGTACTTTCTTCTGAAAATGCATGCGCGGGCCCTCCCACGGAGGGCCCCCCCAGCTGTTCCCCAGGGGGCCCCCCGATGGGGGCCCCCATGGGGGCCCCCGTGGGGGCCCCCTGGGGGGCCCCCTGGGGGGCCCCCGCGGGGGCCCCCTGGGGGGCCCCCAGCAGCAAATTGCGAATGGCTTTGCCCCTGTGGGGCTCCAGCTGCATTTCGCTGCGGACTCTCCGCAGCAGCTCTTGAGCCATTGCGAGGGAACGCAGACGATTGGCGTCTCTGCTGCAACTCTCCCCTTCCAACTGGGGCCCCCCGGGGGCCCCCAGGGGGCCCCCTAGGGGCCCCCCCAGGGGGCCCCCCAGGGGGCCCCCCAGGGGGCCCCCCAGGGGGCCCCCCAGGGGGCCCCCCAGGGGGCCCCCCAGGGGGCCCCCCAGAGAGCTCCCCAGGGGGCCCCCCAGGGGGCCCCCCAGGGGGCCCCCCAGGGGGCCCCCCAGGGGGGCCCCCAGGGGG